CAGGGGATTTATTGGTCAAAATAGATTTATATAATTCAGGGGTGGGAGCCGGACATCGACCCAAATTAGTAGACCATGGAAAGGACTTACACTCCGCTTCCCTCCGCTCCAGCCCAAATATAAAATCACGATTTTTCAAAGAGAATTTTGTTTATTTGCGCAAAATATCACGCTAAAATCATTACAAGCTAGTATATAATATATCAGATAACATCAATATCAATAAAAAAAATTTTCCTTCATCTTATGCCCATATTATATATGCATCCTTTTCAGAATTTAAAAGTCGCACCTCACGTAATTATTAGATTTTAAATAACGGATTCGTCTTTACTATATCTACATATATTATGGCAGTAATCTTCAATGTATGTCTCTGTTATTGTACGAATGAATCATCACAATTAAACTTTAAGAGAGTTTATTTTATGAATTAGAGTAAGAAAAAATAATACATCGTGCTATTTAAAATTATCTAAAAATTATCTAAATAATGAGTAAATAATTAAAATATATATTCCTAAATAACTTGAAACACCTTACCTCAAAAAATCAATATGTAGATCAAAAATAATTTAGCCGAGAATTTCTTTTCGATCAAAAATTAAACCACTCCAATCCTCTTCAATCCCAAGTAAATCACAGCTAGTTTTCCACCAGAATTTTTGCTTTTCTTCATCATAGCTTTCATCACTGGATTTATCGATTTGACAAAGTCGATTAATATAGAGTCCACTTTTATTTTCAAGTTCTGATGAAATGGCAGCATAAGTGATCACGGCCCCACCCTTAATTAAAATAAAACAATAAATATTTGATCAAATTATTTATAAATTTGTTTCAAAGGAATCGAAATAAAAACCTGTTCAGATGTCCTAGTAAATGGCGCCCATGATAAAATATATTTAAGAAAGAATTGAGTAAAAATAGCACTTTCCCTTGCTAATTCAGTTGTAGGACAGAACCCCGGTTCAACTATTGAGACGTTAACCTTTCTTTCCTCTTCACCTTTTTTATTCAAAAATTTATCCAATTGATAACCAAAAAGCACTTGTGCCAACTTTGAATTCCTATAGAACAACAAAGGAAAATACATCTTTGACCCATCCAAATTTTCGATATCTAATATTGGTCGATTTTCTCCAGATTCTTTTGAGCCGGTGCCAGGTTTATGTAATGAACTATTAACTAAAATAATTCTTGAATCTGGACCTGATTCAATTAATCTAGGAAGTAATTCATGAACTAAAATAACATTTGAAAGATGATTAACCTGAAATGTATGTTCAAAACCATCATCTGTTTTAGTCAGTGTAGCTTTTACAACACCAGCATTTAAAATTAAAATGTTTATATGAAGAGATGGTTTTCGAGATAGAATATTTTGAGTAAATGATTTTACGGATGTTAATGAGGATAAATCAAGCTTAACAATTTCCACTGATTGGTGTGAAGGAACAATAGAATTGATTTTTGTTTCAGTTTGCTGAATGTTACGGACTGCTAAGATTATGTGGTACGGCGTTTCTTGGCTCAATAGTTGTTTAAGAACTTCGAAACTAATATAAATGTGTAAATTTTAAAATTCAAAATTTTATAAGTGATGAATCATTTAGAAAATTGTTAAATGTTTTTTAAGATTACCCGAGCCCAGAATTAGCACCTGTCAATATGACAAGTTTGCGATCTGACATTTTCGAAAGAAACAAACGTTCAATTTAGGCTATATAAACTGAATTTTTTGTTCTCATAACCCGACCAGGTCAAAATTTGCAAAACTTTTTTTTTTTTTAAAAAAAAAAAAAAAAATTGATAATAGAATTTATAAAAAATAAATTTTTTTGAAAGTAAAAGCCGAATTGCCGGGTCATTAATTTTTAATTGCCTTATATACCCTATATACGTATATATACATAGTAGCCACAGAAAAGATCTGCATGTGTTCATCACTAAACTTTTTCCCGTTTTTTTGTTTTAGAAGATAGAAAATTTATGTAATAGATAATAATCACATTAAGTTGAAATTCGAGATAATAGATTCAAACGAAAAAGTAAATATTAAAATAATAATTGCTTTCCTTTATTTTTTTACACTTTAAGAAGTTAAATGTTTTTATATATTTTAACTTTCAAATATATATATATATATATAATTTGAAAATTATTTCTAACTGTACGTATTTTTTTTCTTTTTATTTAGTATGATACCGAAATCAACAACCAAATGTGATCAAACAAATGAAGAAACCGAATTAATTGACCTTGATCAAATGCTTAGTTCTCTCAATTCGGGTAGTATTAAAAAAATGTCACAAACAGACCTTCAACAAATTTATTCACGTACTATAGCTCAAGAAAAATCATTAACATTTCATCAAATGATTTATCTATTGGCAAGAGAAATTTATGGGTCAAGTGATTCGATTGGTCAAATATTAAATTCTAATTCAGAAATTTTGGGCGATGATTTCAATATAAATATTCTAAACTCTTCTCAAAACATATATAATTATTCTACATCTACAAATGATCACATTATGCAAGATATACGAAATATATATGAACGAGATATTTTAGAAAACAAAGGGGAACAAAAAGATTACAATAATACGTCAAATCATAATGATACAGAACTTATGTCTATGTATTCTACATTGCATAATAATGTATCAGAAGTTCAAGATCAGGAACTGCTACCAGAGCCTATCATAGACCTTGGACCATCATATGTTAATGGGAAAAAGGTTCTAGAAAATTCACATTCACGATTTGAAGAACCTGATGAAATAATAATTCAACGAAGACCTTTAATAACCGAAACTCAAAATTCTATTTCACCTGCTGATAAAGAAAATAAAAGTCCATCAAGGTTTCAAGCACGGCCGCAACAATCAAGTTATTTAGCATCAAATATTCAAACTCAAAATCATAGTGATTCTCACCACATCAAAACGGTGAATGGAAATGTTTCTGAAACTTTTTTGAGACAAGAACATCAAAGAGAGGAGATTAAAACTGAAGAGAGTGCTCTCGACTTCTCTAAATTTCCGGAAGCTGGTGAATTGGATACTTTTGGGACTAAGGACGATCCAATTGTGTTGGATGATGATGATGATGACGATGAGGATGCTCTTATTATAGTTGAACGTCCTTGAAATGAATTCATATACTTTGTTTTATTCGGTTAAAAACTTACACCGAATTAGCTAAATTAGTAATTAAATCAATAAAATTTTGATACGTTAAAGCCGATTAGTAATAGTAATCGATTAAATATTAACGCGTTTCCAAATTTATAACAATCCTATTTCAAAGTACGGCTTGATAAAGTGGTTGTAGAGATGTGTAATTGTTAGAAGACTTTATCTTTTTTTACATCTTTAATGAAATTAAACCAAAGATTTAATGTAATAAGGAGAATATTGATTAACGTAATTTTTAGAATTTAATTATCTCATAAAATTAATAAAATAAAATAACTAATAATTTTGTATCAAACGAAAAAAAAAACAATAAATGCCTTAATTCATCCATCCAGTTGCCTTTTCTTTTTATACTAAAGAACGTTTGCATCTATCTGTTTTAAATAATAAATCTATTTTAACATACATAGTATATACCGTATCCTGTCGTGAATAAGCACCCACCTTTTGCAATTTCATATTCAAATTTCTCGTGATCGGATTTATATAATTTTGGTACTATTATTAAAGCAATTCGAATAGTACCAAAATTATATAAATCCGATCACGAGAAATTTGAATATGAAAATTGGGTGCTCATTCACGGTATTCTAAACTTCAAGATAAAAATTTCTGCAACCTATGATACATTTAATGATAATGTTTGAAAGATACTATTTACTATATCTTAATACGTATATGTCAGTTCAATTATTACGTCAATGTATACTTCATACTTACTGTGTAAGAAAGTTTATTCAATTAAAAAAAAACTTTACAAATCTAACAATTGTCTTATTACGACATTATTCCGTAATCAAAAATTATATCATTCAAAAAGGCACTTTTTTTATAAACTTCACGTGTACTTCTTTTCTTCCTTTTTTTCTTTTTTATCGCTATTCTCACCCATAACTGATCCCAAAACGTTATAATTATTAAAGTTGATAAACCATTATTGAATACTTTGACTATAGAGAAAAATGAAGGGTATTTTCTTTGTAATTTGTATGATCATCGGGTTATCAATAATTTACCGAAGTGAATCGAGACTTGTGAATTTTTTTTATTGGACTTCACATAACCAATTTCCAATTCAACATAAAAAATACTCTGGAAAATTTTTACATATTACTGGTATATTAAATTAATTACCTATCCTTTTAATTTTTAATCTCTTAAGAGCTTCAATTCTTTTTTTTTTTTTTACAATGAAAAAAGACTTCCATATTGACCCACACTATGTTTATCCGAGTGATCCATCGACTGTTTGCCATCGTAAATCACATGATTCATCCAAGAATACTGGCGGAATGTATGGTGCTTTAAGAATTGAATGTGATTCTCCATTACGATTATTAAAAGAGACATTCGAATTTATCAAAAATAATTTTCGAGATGTTGATTTCGTTATTTATACGGGTGATACTTTGAGACATAATTTTGATCCATACATACCTCTCGAGGAAGGTGATGTTTTAGATGGACATCGCCTCGCCGTATCATTTCTTATGGGTGCTTTTGACTCGAAAAGAACTAAGATTGTATGTATTATTTTTATTTTATTTTTACATTTTTTTTTATTTTTAAAATTTTAATTCTATTTATTACTATTTTAAGATTCCAACGTTAGGAAACAATGATGAATGGGGTAATGACGCGATTTATACTGATTTATATCAATTTAATAAATACTTCTAATTTCATCAATTGTAATTACAGTACATGACCTACTCAAGGAAGGCCCAAACACACTTCTTGATAATGTTACAGAAATATGGTCCCCTTTAAATTTAAATCTAACTTCTGATTTCACTAGAGGAGGTTACTTTAGACAGGATATTCATCCAAAATTAAGTTTTCTTAGTTTGAATTCCTTGTATTTTATGAATGAGAATCTTGAAGTTAGTGATTGTGATAAAAAAGATTCTGCTGGTGCTAAACAATTGAAATGGCTAAAATTTCAATTGAAAAGTGCTCGAAAGGATCATCGTAAAGTTTATGTACCACCATTATATATTCATGGTAATAGTTTATTAATTATTAATTTTTTCATAATTTTTAAAATTTATACAGTATTTAAAATCTTTTAAATTTCATAAATAGGTCAAAAATCTTATAAACCTGCATGTTTATATAATTATGTTCAAATGATTGGTAAATATTCTGACGTCATTTATGGCCATTTTACAGGTCAGTAATTTATTTATTTTCAAGTTTATGGATCATCGATAATTATTAATATTAATGCATTTTATTGTTAAAGGTCATACCAACGGAGATACATTGACATTTGTTGCTGCGTCTCGTACTCATAAAAAACGAAAATATCGGTTAGTCTTATTCACAGGAGATAGATGAACTAAATGAAGATGTCGTTCTAGTTCTCAACAATGCACCATCAATTGTTCCAGGTAATTCTTAATAAATTATGCTGACACATTTGTCTCATCAATAACGGGGATTTTTTACTAACTCAAAATAATAAATTTAAAATTAGTCAACAATCCGGCAATTAGAGTTTATAAATATTCCACTGACGATGAAAATTTTGGTACATTACTTGACTACACTCAATACTATACCAATCTTACAGAAGCTAATGAAAAAGGTAAACTTAGATGGGATGTTGAATATGAAGCGCGAGAACTTTACAAAGTTAATAAATTGCGGCGTAAAGATTGGGCCAAGGTTTATCATCGGTTTAAAAAACCTGATCATAATTTATGGGAAAGATATATCAAGTATGTTAATGTTAGTGTTAATGTTAGTGTTAATGGATCATAACTGGTATAAATTTGGATATGTGGTATCTTTCTTCAAAACTATATATATATTGTACTATGTACAGATGTTTTGGAATTAGGTTTTTTCTATTCAAAATGAATATGCACAAATAAAATTCAGTTTTGATTTGATTTGATTTTTTAAACATAATTTTTACGATATTAATGCACCTCAAGACTAAAAATGCTGATGAAATTAAACTAGTAAAATAATTTATCACTAGTGGTGTAGTGGTGTTTAGTTAAAATTTCGTCGCAGAATTTTACTCGGGACCATATGACATATCAGATAAAAAAATAGGACGAGTTCTACTAGAAACAGAATTGTCTACTATATTTATTGGATAAATATAAGTATAGTATTTTTAGCTGTGGCGTATAATTTGGATGAGATCTTAAGCCAAGCACCCTTTTAATTTCTCTATCAACGGCATTTTATATGTGAAGGCTTGAAAAATGGTTATAATACGTATACTATATACGAGAGTTGACGTAAAAATTACTGAACTACGGCTGAATTGCGGCAAGCACCGTATTTATCTATATTGATAATCGCTATTACTATGTACAGAATGAGAAACTAAATATAGAATATTATGAAATCAATAATTCATAAATAATCTATATTTAGAATTGTTCATATTACCTATATACTATATACGTAACAACATTCTCTTTATACGTACGTATGTAATGTTAATGACTAAAAAAAACGAATCCACTGATTGACAATAAGCATACGTAAACACTTATTTCGATTAATGTTGTTTTGATTTATTCTCATGGAGATTTTGTAAAGTCAGAATTTGGCCTGCAAAATTAGCCAACTCCGATTGATTTTATATGGACATTTTTGTAAAATTTTATCTACATGCAAATTCCTATAAATTCGTGGCCATTTTCATTTACTCAATATTCAAAATAAAAAATAATAACCTTAAAAAAAAAAAAAAATGTCTGCACTATCTTCAAAATTCTTTACCGTACTCTTCTTCATTATTCTTCTCGTTTCAAATGGCAATTCATTTCTCAATGCTTTCCAAAAACGAGATTTAACGCAATGCTCAGGAACATATCATATTAAGGACCTTAAGTTCACACCAAATCCGATTCCCTTATACTTATCTAACTTCACCGCCACTCTTACTGGAACGACCGACGTACAAATCACTGGTGGTTATCTCGTCGCATTGGTATACGGATATAACAATACGTATAGTATATGCGATCATGTTTCGTGTCCTGTTCAACCCGGACCTTTTAGTTTCAGTGGTAATGTGAATATACCAAGTGAGGTAACCGCTTCTTGTGTAGCTCTAAAAATTACCGGTGTCAAAGCTGATGTTAGGGGTAAGTTGAAAATCATAAAATGTACAATTTAAGAATTTGAATAATTTTATGATAATCGTTTATTTTTTTTTTTTTTACCAGCTTATGATGCTAGTGGAAACATTTTGGGTTGCATGCAGGGCAGTGTACCGATTAGTTGTTCATAAAGTTCTTTTAGATATAAATAAATAGTGGTTCTTTTCGGTATAATCCCCTGTATCTAATCTCAATACTCAAGTTTGCGTACCTGATATAGTAACTTTTAAAATGAGAGTTTATAAAATCTGAGTACTAAAGGCAGTGTATATATTTATCATATAAACGTAAAACAAAAATGCATAGTAATAGGTAATTTATTACTTCTACATGGAACTTAGATTATTTACCGATACATGATTTATCATTTAAACTGCATCTTATTTTATATTTCAAAGTATTATTCATTTTAATAAAACATAATAATTCATTCAAAAATAGCAATAACTATCCTTAAATTTTAAATAGAGAATAAAAGAGTGAGAGTGTGAAGAACAAAACATAGATAATCTTTGCGAAAAGCAAAAGAAAGCTATTGAAATAGGAAAATTGTCATCTTCAAAAAAAAGCTATTGCCTGATATATTCAAATGCCGGTTTAACCAGAAGCATTTTCACATGAAGTATAAGATCAAAAAATTTTAAGACACATCGTTATAGTCAGATATTATATCCAGATGCCAGAGTTACGTGTAGTTAAACAAAAGTATCAATGCAATTACATTTGAATATACTGTAATTTTTAGGCGAAATCTAGAAGTTTTGTCAGACAAAAGCGAAACCTAGCTTATCTTACATCTCTTGTGAAGAATTTCATATATTGTAGATAGGCTCAAAATAATAATTTTTAGTATAATTAAATTTCCATGTAAGATAACATTTAGATATCAAGTAAAAGTTTTCAGTACCAGTACAAAAATCTATCTTTTAACCATATGATATATATATAATTAATTCAGTATCAAACGTTTATAAACTTAATCGGGACCACACAGATCTAAACCTTAAAAAATTATGAGAGAAGCGAAATGAAAACTTTCAAACTATTCTGCTGAATTTTCGAGATGTTCGCTCCCTGGTTCAACTGAACCCAATTAGGTTCAGCTTCCAGAAATTGAACCCAAATAGATGATGATCGAGGAAAATTTTTGAGATTCTAAATTTATTAACGTTAATTTAGATTCTTAATTGTGATCTGCAGTCCCATCTTTTTTACAAAGCACGATTATTGGCTGAGGGGAGTGGAGGGAAGATCCGGATTTAATTATTTATATCCGGATTTAATAATTAGATCAGGATGCATATTT